TGAAACGAGCAGGACAAGGATAAAAGAGTCGTGAAAGAGACTGTACATAACACAATCCAAGATTTTTGTTTTATACACTTTTGTCAACTACGTTTATTCACTTGTTAATTAAAATATCATAACTTGTTGTTATGTTAGTGGGTTAAAAAAAAAAAAAGAGGATGAAGTAGTGATGTTCTTGATCGTCTTAGATACCATTTTAGGTTATCAAAGCTCAATCATGCTTTGATAATATGTAAATTATGTACGCTTGACATTTTACCAGCAAACTCACTCAACGCCAGGTTTGACTTGTAACACAAAAAAAGATGGATACTTGGGCCTCAAATGGGCTTTCATAGGTCGGATTATTTCACAAACCAATCGAAGTTCTTTTATGTTTAAGAATGGAATACAATTCGTAGACCGGTAGACGTCTGCATCTTTTCTTAAGTATCTGAAAACGAAACGACCATAGGATCCAATTCGTTTCATTAAATTAAATGAAAATGAATTAGGCATGCTCGTTGCAATGCTCTATCTACGCGTGAACGCCTCCGTTGACCATTTCTTATACTCGAGTCATAAAATTTGTTTGCATATGAGATTCTCAGAAAATCTGATTCCGTTTCATTGCAAAAAAATACTTCGAAATTGATTAGTACGGAGAATGCAAAGGAAGGAATCATAAACCAAATTTTTGTTTGAACAAAAGCAACGATAACAATATTAATATCCATAAGCAGATCTAAAATCTCCACCATTTATGTATGAGAAAAGAGATCGATTCAAGTTAGACTGATCACATTTTTAAAAGGTACCCTAACCATCATAGTTATTATTCCCATTAATTTTCAGAGAATCAAATCTGAAAACCCTAGACCGAACCTCCACCGTTGACGAGGGAAGTCGACGTCATCATCTTCTGAAACTCTTCGAAATTGACATTCCCATCGCCGTCAGCATCCACAGGTCCGATCATACGAGTGCAGTCTTCGACGGAGCAAGACATACCGAGACGGTTAAGCACCTGGTGAAGCTCAGCGGCGGAGATGAGTCCGTTTTTGTCCTGATCGTAGAGCTCGAAAGCGTCGCGGATCTCGGATGCGGAGGAAGACGATCGGCAAAGGGCTGAGAACTCGTCAAGGTTGATGTAACCGTCGCGATCTGAATCGACTTCCTCCAAGACGCGATTGAGTTCCGTCTCCGTGTACGAAGTACCCATGGCTTTGAAAACACCGCCGAGTTCAAGCACCGAGATCTTACCGTCGCCGTTTGAATCGAACTGGTTGAAAACCTTCTTAAGCTCCTCCGGATTCGCCATGTCCACCGTCGCAGGCGTCGATTTTGCTGTTTCGGCCATTTTTGTCTTCTTCTCGTT